GGCGTTTGTTCATTTAGCCCATAAACTACAGACTAATGTTAAGGTACAGAGAATAATGATGTCATCTTACAGCTGGCATCTCCCTCCAGACCGAGGATCTTCCTGTAGCCTCCATGAGACAGCACCCTCACCAGAGTCTGAGCGGTGAAACACACCATGTCCTGCACAAACACACCTGCAGTTACATCCTCGCTCAGAGCTTCAGAGCTGAATATTCTTGTGTTAAGTGCGACATAAACATGTTTCCAGTTCCACAGACAGAGTTAAGCTGGGCACGAATAAGAAACGCTGACCTGCAGGAACAAAAAGCACTGAGCAGATCTACCTGCTGTTCCAGCGTCATGACTGTGTGCACTCTGAAGTTTCCACTTTCACAGGGGTCAGTGATGCCCACAGAGCCAGGCAGAAAGAGACCAGCAGCCAGCATCTGCAGGCAGCGCCTTCAACAACAACAACAACACAAACATTTCTTCCACAGCGACAACAAACCAGAGTGCAATCTGAGCAGAGTGACGACTGACCTGTAGGCCACGTTCAGAGACAGAGGCTGCCTGGAGGGGTTGTTCATCACTGCAGAGTGGCCCTAGAGAGGAACACACACTGCTTTATGAAACAAACCAGCGTTTAATGTCCTTCCAATAAATAAGGACGTCAGCGTTGTGCACGTGGATTATTTATTCACTGAGGACATCATTTATGAACTTACCAGCAGGTCGAGGATCCAGGGCGTCAGGGGTTCGAACCCAGGGAAACGCAGCCTCAAGTCTTTCAGCAGGCGGATCAATACTTTGACTCTAAACATTAGACATGTGACACAAACCAATCTTATGAGCTTATTTGTATTGTTACTGTGAAAGCAGACCAGGTAAAACACGACTTTTCCTCACGTTGACTGAGAGGCGTTCTCCTCAAACCAGCGAGCGTGACGGATGGCAGCGAGGGCGCTCTGCAGCACCTTGATGTCCACTGAGGAGACAAGAAACAAAAGATTCATTTTCTTAAACAACCACAGAGCTGCACGCGCTGCGTTTGTGTCTCCAGACCAGGTGAAAAGTCTCACAGTGCAGCTCGGGGTCCAGTTTGCGCAGGTTAGGAGGGACAGTGGTGATGAGGATCTTCACTGTAGCGTCAGCTGAACTGATCTCGAAGCCGGTCTCATTGGTCAACATGGACAGCACTGAGAGGAGGAGTCAAACACTGTGTCAGGCACGTTTTACAGCTGCACGGCTGATAAGCCAACAAGTCAAATGACTGTAAACCAAATGTTTTTATCCTGAAAAAAAGAAACATTTACTAAATCAAATTTGAATGAAAACTCTGAAGTTTGTCTGTTTACCTTCAGTAGGATCTTGTGTGCGAAGCGTCTCCACTACTTTGTTACCGAGGGCGGCCACAGCCTCCACTGGAAAGAACAACGACCCTCAGAGCGCGACACGAAGGGCACAAGAACAACAGCAAACAGAGCTAACAGGGTTTATATGAAACAGCGACCGATACAAAGGTTTTAGAAGCCCCTCCTTTCAGGTTGTCTCTATGAGCACCATCACACTGATGGATGGCTCAGAAACATCTGCTCAAACATCTGGTTACAGCCCAAACTACATGTGGCTCCAAAACCAAGATTGAAACCTGATGCATTTGAAACCCTGCTGGGGGATCTGGGCTTTCCACCAATTCCTCTTAGAACTGAAGAAGCTATACAGTTTTCCAGCAACCATTAACAAAAGACCAACAGTTAGCCATTTTAGGAGTATTACCAAATGGTTTTGCGGGAAACAATAAAAAGTATCTCTTAAGAATCTTGCTTACAGCAGCACTAAAGTGTGTCACTATTAAATGGCTG